AGCCTTTAAAGAAACAGTTCCTTATCTCGGCAGTAGTTTGACGAGATGATTAGGCCTTAATTGGAATGAGTTTCTATTAGGCCTTCCTCCAACTTCTATTAGCCAAGCAGTTATGGCTGGCATCACTTTTTGGTGATTCTTCAGGTTTCACCTTCTTTTTTCCTATGAAAACTCATGTATAAGTGGCAAGCCTTTAAAGAAACATTTCCTTGTCATGGCAGTAGTTTGACGAGATGCTTAGGCCTTAATTGGAATGATTTTCTATTGGGCCTTCCTCCAACTTCTATTAGCCAAGGAGCTATGGCTGGCATCACTTTTTGGTGATTCTTCAGGTTTCACCTTCTTTTTTCCTATGAAAACTCATGTACAAGTGGCAAGCCTTTAAAGAAACAGTTCCTTACCTCGTCAGTAGTTTGTCGAGATAATTAGGACTTCTGTGGAATGAGTTTCTATGAGGCCCTCCTCCAGTTTTCTCAAAAGGAGAAAACTGTGAGCAGTTAGAATATATGTCTCCACGACAATATCCGAGCCTTTGATCATGCAATCTTCTATCTCTGAAAACAAGATCCAACTGTTGATGTTACTCGAAAGCTTTTCACAACTTTTGCTCATTTATCTGAAAAATGTTCTAATTATTTCTGGGCCACTAGTGATTCAGATGTTCTCATTGTATATATACACATACTTATTTTCTTTCCCACCACTGATTCTTTTTTTCAGTCCATCAAGCCTGAGCTGACGGTGCAAGTCGAGCCAATCATGGATCCATATGGTCCATCCATTGTAGATGAAAATTTGGAGGCAATTATTGTGAGGTATCATATCTATCCTTCAATCCTTATCGAATATACTGCTCAAGACAGAATCAATCACAATTCAGTCATTAAAAAGCCACATCTAAATCCTTTGGGTTTGTCTTCCAGTAAGGAGACATTGCCGGGAGGAATTGCTGTTAACAGGAAGAGGGCTGAGAGAGGCTTATCACAATTAAAGGTACATGAACATTAAAAATCCACAAGTATCTCCTGTTATTTTCTTACAAGTCAACCATAAATAATTAGTTTTTGATATTGTTCTAAAGGTCCGGTCAGTTGATTCTCATTGTTGTGTGAATGCAGATTGAAGTGGTGGATTTATTGCCAGAGGAATCTACAGGAACCAAGATAAGTTCTTCAACACTTCGAAAAATTGAGGCTGAACAAGCGATCATCAATAATCAGCAATAGCAACATCAACAACTAACACTTCGAAAAATTGAGGCTGAACAAGCGATCATCAATAATCAGCAATAGCAACATCGACAACTATCACATTCAGAGTGTCCTACATAGATACTACAAAACTACATTCAGAGTGTCCTACATAAATACCCTACAAAACTTTTCGACAAGGACATATGTTCGATTGTTCAAAGTTGTGCCGCAAAAGCTTACATCTTGTAGTATCCTTTTTACACACAGGAAGCAGATATATTTACGAGTGTACTTTCCACTATTGTAGTAATTTTATTTCTACAACTTGTCAACTAAAAAGCTGTAATTGTGAATTTCACAAATTCAAATAAACATTTTTATATGTTAGAAATTCTGATTTTACATAAAGAAAAGATATATTACATACATATTCTGTTTTTGCAATTTTATTTCTTGATCTAAAAGAATTTCTAATGGTTCCTCATGATATGAATTTCAAGTGCCATCAACAATTCAATGGGTAATACACTAAAAGGGAGGGAGGTGTCAATCCCTAATCCGTGTGTGAAGGCATTGACCTCGGTGATCAGTACTTCTCCTTCATCCAAGAACATCAAGTTCGAGTTGGATGGCTCCTCCATCTTTAGACTGTTTGCTGTAAGGGATTGATTTCCTGCAAAAGGTGTTCGATAAAATGACCAAACAGTTCAGAGAAGGATCCAACATGTTCTAATAATGATCATAAAGATTACCTTATAATGCTTGCTAGGGGTGGAATTCTACACCAGAGAAACTGTGCAAACCAGCATCCCAAGCAGAAGCCCTATGAACCTGGAAACATCATGCCAACATATGTATGAGTTCATCTTATAATCTCCAAAACATGGAGCTACAGAAGCAATTACATTGAAGCATGAATCCAGGAAGGTGTCAGGCACCGTAACAAGTGACTCAGAGGCATTCATGGCCATGTTCTCCAGTTGAAGGCCAGATAGATCGAACAGGTCTGACGACGCCCCAGTCACAGGACTGCTGCTGGAATTGCAGGATGAGTTCAACTGCACCATCACCAAATGGAGAGCAAGATGTGGACATGGAAGTCAACATTTGGATTTAGACTTTTACCTCTCCATCAAAGAAGAGCATTCTTGGATTCACAGCAGCGAGCTTCATTGACAGGAACTATTGGACGCACGAGGAGGAAGACGGATCAGTCACAGCTTACATCGTGGAAGGATAAAGATCGAAGGGTATGCGTACCTCGACTTGCCTTTGGAGGGACGGCACGTAACATATGACACCATCGGTCGAACAGTTAGTGTAGGGGATCGGTACGAGGTGAAGAACAGGAAGAACAATGTGGAACACTAGCAGTGCTCCACCTTCTCAATCCCAACTGCTCCTTGCTTCCCTCAATGATTAAGATTTGAATAATGAAAATAAAATTTACTTTAGATTTAAGTTGTGCGACATATCAAGGATTTGGAGTTAATCTATGTCTAACGTCTGAGCTTATCGTAAGTCTAGTGTCAAGAATATAGAGGATTCGACGGATGATCCTATAAAAATTATGTCATAGGTGTATTCGATAAAAGATCTCTCTTATACTTAAGTTGGTAGAGATTTAGATAATTCAATTGTACTAATGAGTAGTGTTCTTAGATAGATTAAATGATGCACTTGGAGGGTCTTTCTATAGTGAGCTTTAGTATCCGTAAAATTAAAATTGAAAATTGATCCGCGAGACGATTATACAGACGTCAATCCTAGACTAACATGTTAGGATGGATAGACATTTTTATCGACGTTGATTAAGCATGAGGCCTACAGTGTGATGTGTTTTAGATTAATTACATGTCACTCTTCATTAATTATTTTTATATACATAAAGATATGATACATATGAACTTTCTTCTAATCTCAATGGAAGATTCATAAACAAGGTTTCTTGAATTTGAATCTTTTTCTAATAGATATAGATAAGGCGGAAGATGAAGAAAATAAAATTTATGTGGAAGAATATGTATAAAAAAAATCTAAATTTATGCCAAAGGAGGCAACAAAAAAAGTGGAAGAATCCTTGACTCTCAATTTGAGACTCAATCAACTCCAATTCATTTGTGGTTGTTAGTGCATGTTTGATGGGGCTTCTTCTACATCTACTTGCTCTTGCTAGGTTGGTCTTCCTTTTGGCTTGCAGATGATGGTGATGGTGAAAGACACCATCTTGTCTATTGCAATTCAATTGTTTGAATCAGTCAAAGAGTGGCAAAGGGTCATCTGAGGTTGTCGGGGGGTGGGGGGGGGGGGGGGGAGTTCTTATCCTACCACCTTTTTCAGGTGTAGTCTTCTTCCATTCTATAAAGACTCGATATATTTAAAAAAAAAAATTAAAAAATCTCAATTAGCATAATAACTTTCAAAAAAATTTGCAGAATATATTTTTCTTTTTCAAAATGATGATATTACCTTTGTCGGCCATCGTCTCCACCCAACACCGTTGCTGCTTGTCGCCGTCACCGAGGTGGTGATAAGCGGAGAGGCGATCCTTATGCCCCCTTCCTGCCTCGTGCGAGGACGCTAGCTGCAACCCCCTTCACCTGTGTCTCTGTCTTAGCCACTTATATTATGGGCAAGGACAATACGGGTGAAGTGAATAGGGACAAATCCAATAAGATCTAACGGAACCCACAGAGACAAGGGCAAGTTCGACGAGGGCGAACGACGCCCACAAAGATAGAGAGTTTAACATGAGCCATCGAGGTTTGCGAAAGCAAGGGCAAATCCAATGAGGGCCAATAAGGCCTATGAAGACAAGGACGGTAATGCAAAATAAATGCAACAACAGATCCGATAAAGGCAACAACAAGTTCGATAGAGACAACAAGTCCGACGAAGATAGGGGTAAAATAATATTTCAATGCAAAAAGAAATATTTTGTAAAAAAAATTAGAAATTAGGACGTTCTATAAAAATTTCTCAAAACTAAAGATTTTTTCAAAAAATTCACCCAATATATATTTGTTTTGATTCACAGCGATCTGTCTTTCTTGGATACTAAAACAGGAAGGCATTGAAGACATGAAATCATTTCAGATAATGGAAAGAACATCATATCAATTGAAACCACGCGGAGAACATTGCTTTGGCACAACTCGAAACAACATGCCAGAAAGGGAGGGATAAATCTGACCACATACACAAAGATATAGAAAATGCATGTTTATCCATGCAATAGATCACGACCACGGTAACACACCTTCAAAACTTGATTTCTAGAATTACTAACTTAACAGTGTGGATGATTCATCTTTATGATACAGAGGCAGTAAGTACCCAATACTTCTTTGTCAATCCATCGGCAAAACCGAAACTTGCTTTGGAAAACAACAGCTTAGAGAAACTTGCTTCTGGTACTAACAGCATGAACATAGACCCGATCTACCAAAACCCCACACCTATTTGTCTATACACTCAATCAGAAGAATGGACAAAGAGAAATATGGATGAAATATTGGAATACAAGTGGATGACCATAACATCCCAATCAAGTATTCCACCAAAAATGCATAAGCTTTACATAATCCTTCCTAACTATACAGGCTTAAGGAATGTGTATACATGTGTATATATATATATATATATATACAAGAATACCATACATACCTCAATGTCCAGCAAAGTGCCTAACAAGGAGTTGAGGACTGTGGTTTTGAGAACCACCTTATTTTCCTTCTAAAGAAACCGACAGATTTGGAATGCGGTCGTTCATTTGCAGAATGACCTACAAAATGCTGCGTCGGTTCAGGTTCGGATTCAGGATTAATATATAAATTGACAAAACGATCACTGTGCCTGACATCTCTCAAACGATGGAGCAGCCTTTGAGAAACCTCCTTGCCCTTGGCATTCCCGTTAACAGATATATTAACAAGAGCTGGAATCACACCCTCATCCATGATCAATAGACAATTTTCAAAACTCTGAGAACATACGGCATAGAGGATATCCACTGCAAGTTCTTGTTCTTCTTTGCTGCCAGTGTCAAGCAGCTCAGATATGGAAGCAAGGCAGGCAGTGGCTTTGGCTACCAGCATGGCACCCTCTTCATTGCTGCTTATGGTCTGGATGATCTTTAAGCAAAGATGTACAAGTCTTCCATCCATCATAAACGAGGCAAGTTTTGTTATGCATCCAGAGGATAAAATATAAGATTTTACATCCTTGTCAGCTGATAAATCAAGCAGAATGTTCAGAGAGAGTTCAAGGTACTTGGGAACTTCTGAGTCTAAGGATTTCAGAACAGTGGTTAGAACACCAGATGACAGAATGTCCGATCTACAGCTTGGATCCTGGGCCAGAATATGCAACAGCGTTAAAGCTTCTATACTTGTCTGAGAATCAAGAAAGGATAGCAAAAGCTGCAATGCATCTTCAGTCAAGGATGAGAGTTCAAACCTGGACAATCATCAAGATGACTTCATGAATACTGTAAATTGAAAAGGACTAGAGACAGAATATGGGATAGAGAGCATAAAACAGCAAACTTCTATATACAACGGAAAGATAAAGGTAACCACCTGTTCTTATTCAGGAAAGCGAGAAGTAACTTATTTCCATTTTTCATTGCTTGCGCATTGGCCATTTCACATGCATTCTTCAGAACACTAATTAATGCTTCTGCAAAACCATTGGAGAGCATAGCATGAGCCATCTCCTCATCACTTTCCAGAAGGCTTTTCACATTTTCCACTGCTTTGTCTTGAACGTCAATTGGAAGTTCCAAGAGTCTACAGAAAAATCTCAAAAACATTTCATGATTGAAGTTGGAGAACGACTGACATTGTTGATAATCATCACTCCATGAGAAAAAATGAGCATAGTCATCCTCTACATTGTTGGTGCTATTGACGTGGGGTGATTCTGAACAGTAACTAGCATCAGATGAGATAAATGAAACATTGCTGTGATCATTTTGAAGAAAATAGTGCCTAATACTCCCATCTAAAAGTGGTGCAGAAACATTCTTCAGACTTGATATGGAGTAACTATGAGAAGGTTCCCAGCAGTAAAAATCTGCAGGACTGCATCCGGAACAGGGTTCTGGAACCTTGATACCATGTTTCGTGGACCAGTTAGTAATAAGATCCTTCATACAAGAATTCGGAACCACATAAAAGTTCTCCAGTTTTCTTTGAGTCTTTGGACATGTATCGTGTCCCTCACTAAACCATTTTTCTATGTATATCCTTTCATATGTTTGTCCAGAGGCTATAACTACAGGATCATACATCAATCTGGATGATATAGGACACACAAATTCCTCAGGAGGTATAGCAGCTTGACACAAATTCGTTGGAGCCTCACCTTGATCTCCAGGCTCATCATAAT